ACTCGTTCTCCCAGGACGCTCGCCCTTACGGAGCGCTGACCACCTCTGCTACTACCCAACACACCTTTACCTGTGACTAGTCCAGAGGTGCTGTACTCTACCCCCCCCCCCCACACACACACATCCATCGCCACAGACTGCTCACAGAGGCTACATAGTCCCCCTCACAGCCCACAGACTCGCAACAGTTGCTATTGAAGCCCCCATAATTTTTTTTTAATAAATATCAAATTCCAGGAGTCATCTGAAAAGGATAACACAGATGATAGAGTTACAAGATACGAGCTAGATGGTGTTGTGATTGCGAAGTCGGATTGCGAAAGGGATCTGGGAGTTATGATTAGTAAGAATTTAAAACAAAAGGATCAATGCATAAATGTTCGTAATAAGGCAAATCGGACACTTGGATTTATTAATCGCAGCGTTAGTAACAAGACACCTGGTGTGGTTCTCAAGCTATATCTTGCTCTAGTTAGGCCCCATTTAGATTATGCAGTTCAGTTTTGGTCGCCATATTATAGAATGGATATAAATTCACTTGAACGTGTCCAGCGTAGGATGACTAAGTTAATTCCCCAAATTAGAAATCTTTCATATGAAGAAAGATTAACAAAGCTTAAGTTGCATTCACTGGAAAGGCGAAGAGTTAGGGGTGACATGATAGAGGTTTACAAGTGGATGAATGGACATAACCGGGGGGATATTAATAGGGTATTAAAAGTATCAACACAGGACAGAACACGAAACAATGGATATAAATTGGATAAGTTTAGATTTAGGAAAGACTTGGGTAAATACTGGTTCAGTAACAGGGTTGTTGATTTGTGGAACCAATTGCCGCGTAACATTGTGGAGGTGGGGTCCCTCGATTGTTTCAAGCACGGGTTGGACAAGTATATGAGTGGGATTGGGTGGTTATAGAATAGGAGCTGCCTCGTATGGGCCAATAGGCCTTCTGCAGTTACCTTTGTTCTTATGTTCTTATGTTCTTATGTACTAGAGTGTGTGTGTAACCATGTCACTGCTGAAGAGTACTGAAGCAGGTACCCGGGAAGGACAGGGAGCTAAGTAGGTAGATTTGACTGTGGTCTCCTCTATGTCAATGTTCGCTGACGAAGGACATGTAGGTAGACGATAAGGGTGAGGAGGCCAGCGGACGGCCACCATAATATCTAGTACCAAACACGCCACCAGCCTACCTTGTAGAACATCCCAACACCAGCCTACCTTGTAGAACATCCCAACACCAGCCTACCTTGTAGAACATCCCAACACCAGCCTACCTTGTAGAACACCACAACACCAGCCTACCTTGTAGAACATCCCAACACCAGCCTACCTTGTAGAACATCCCAACACCAGCCTACCTTGTAGAACATCCCAACACCAGCCTACCTTGTAGAACATCCCAACACCAGCCTACCTTGTAGAACATCCCAACACCAGCCTACCTTGTAGAACATCCCAACACCAGCCTACCTTGTAGAACATCCCAACACCAGCCTACCTTGTAGAACATCACAACACCAGCCTACCTTGTAGAACATCACAACACCAGCCTACCTTGTAGAACATCCCAACACCAGCCTACCTTGTAGAACATCACAACACCAGCCTACCTTGTAGAACATCACAACACCAGCCTACCTTGTAGAACATCACAAGGTCGAGTATGGAGCATGAGCCAGGTTCCACAACTGCAGATAACCGAGCCACTGGGTCAGGCTCATTGTCAATATCAAGACTGACAAAATGAATTACAATTTTGTTTAATCTGAGTAATTCACTTAGGTCTTATTAATGAGAATGATGCTCATATTCACTGTCACACACTGACAATTGACTGAATGACAGTCAATCAACCAGTTGATTGACAGTTGAGAGGCGGGACCAAAGAGCCAAAGCTCAACTCCCGCAAGCACAACTAGGCGAGTATAGGAGTCACACGAGACAATGGGTCTAAAACTGTAGGCTGAAGCACAAATAATATTAATATTATACATTATAATATATGGAATAACAGGCCAGTAGGCTGAACCTATCACCAGCAGAAAGGGGGAACTAGAAGAGACATGATTGCAATATGGGAAATTTTTAAGAGGGATAGTCTTAGCATACCGCCTGTTTAGATCGAGAGGCAGCAGAGAGAGACTGCACAAGTTGAGAATTGAAACCAAAGAGATACGAGAATATGTTAAACATGAGGAATGAACAAGAGAAGAATATGGTGCAGCTACAGACAAGTGGGAGCCAATAGCTAGACATAGCTCATCTAGACACGTGCACTAGACAACACCCTCATTACTAGACGTGATGACAAGACCACACACTAGAATGTGAAGGGACGACGACGTTTCGGTCCGTCCTAGACCATTCTCAAGTCGATTGTCGACTCGAGAATGGTCCAGGACGGACCGAAACGTCGTCGTCCCTTCACCTTCTAGTGTCACTGTAAAAGACACATCTAATACTTTATGTAGGGCATACGTAAATCTGTGTATCTATGTATTTACGTATGTAGGTTAGCTTAGCATTTTAAAAGCACCGAATCACCTTCTGTGGTTGAGTGTTCAATAAACCCTTGAACTGTATGTTTAACACTTCTCTAACCCTGTCCATGGAGGACAGAAGAAAATGTATATATGCTGGTTAGCATTGTAAATGTGTGGCCACGTCTGTGGTAGAAAATAATAATAAAAAAAAAAAAAACCTTCTAGTGTGTGGTCTGGTCATCATACTATAGCCAGGTTACTGTGACTCATCGCCCTCAGTACTAGCCGTGTGTACTTCCATCAACACCAGCGAAATTGACCTTCGTGTCCCTCGGACAAGTCTACTTCTGGCGGGCAAACCTCAGAATCAAGTTTTCCACCAAGTGGTCGCCACTCGCGTTAGTTTCACGGGGAAAGTGATCTTTACGTCACCCGATACTCTTCTTGGCTCACACCCGAGTTTTGGCGCCACAACTGCGGGCGCGGGTGCCAAGGAGGGCGGACATCCGGCGCCAAAGGGCCTCTGGGAGCCAACTTTTAATTTATGAAGCAACTCGTTACTCTCTTCTTCCTGACATTATAAAAATAAAAAACTGGGCGCACTATGTGGCGGGGAGGAAGGCTGGGAAGTACACCTAGCATAGGTAGTTGGTCGGCCGAGCGGGCAGCACGCTGGACTTGTGATCCTGTGGTCCCGGGTTCGATCCCGGGCGCCGGCGAGAAACAATGGGCAGAGTTTCTTTCACCCTATGCCCCTGTTACCTAGCAGTAAAATAGGTACCTGGGTGTTAGTCAGCTGTCACGGGCTGCTTCCTGGGGGTGGAGGCCTGGTCGAGGACCGGGCCTCGGGGACACTAAAGCCCTGAAATCATCTCCAGATAACCTCAAGATAGGTAGTTGTGAGGCAAGGTTTAGGTGATGGTAAGGGCAGCACTTACCTATCAGTGACTGTACGGTTGGCGAGCTCTAGCTCTCAATACCCAACCTTCTAGCCTTGTTGTTCCCTGATACCTAGATTGTTGCGTTACAATTTAACTATTCTGACTTTCGAATTCCTTGTCGAATCCGTCGCTAAAGTCGTGGAGAGAGGTGGCTTCCACAACTTCCTTCAGTACACTGCCCTTGTTGACCTCCCGTACTGGGTACCTAACCTCACCTTCCACTCATTTGTGTTACCAGCTTCTACATGTGTCCTCCCATCCCACTTTCACTTAAAAAAAATAGGCCGTTGTTGTTCACCTTGTCAATTCCCCTCAGTATCTTGTATATTGCGATCATGTTTCCTCTCTCCTCCAGGTTTGTTAACCTATAATCATAGTTGAGCCCTGTTATGATATCTGTACCACTTTGATTATAGAGACTGAGGGTATTTCTTTAGCAAGCTCTGAAGGGCAGCGAGAGCGTCTGGTTGGTACCTGGTTGATACCTGGTTGATACCTGGTTGATACCTGGTTGATGGGGTTCTGGGAGTTCTTCTACTCCCCAAGCCCGGCCCGAGGCCAGGCTTGACTTGTGAGAGTTTGGTCCTCTCTATAACAATGTATAAGCTCGGGTTGAAGGCCATCTTGCAGCGCCTGGGAGCTCGTCAAGCGTTCAGTAAATACAGACTAAGCTGCCATATGAGAAATACGGGGCACAGATATCGTAAGTTGACACATACGTGCTCTGTGAATCCTGGGCCCGGTGAAGGCAGGGTGGTGGTGGTGGTGGTGGGTGGTAGTAGTGGTGGTGGTAGTGGTAGTGGTGGTGGTGGTGGTGGTGGTGGTGGTGGTGGTGGTGGTGGCGAGCAGCCAACACGACTGGTTGTCGCCTAGGGTCGCTGACTGACGCTTCCCCACACCACCACCACACGCCTCTACCACCACCAGCCTCTGCTGTACCTGGGCACTCGTGTCCACAACTTACTAGGCTCACCTGGGAGGCTACAAGGGTAGGCAAAGCTACAAGGGCGCGTCATCAAAATATGAATGGAAATAACGTGTCAATGACTAAGCTCGTATACCTGTAATTACAAGAGATACGCACAGCCTTATGTTGGGAAAAATTAAAAAGCTAGATAATGGTACTGACAAGAAGGAAACCTAAAACTAACAATGGAAAGTTGGTTTAATTTGTGAACTTGTAAATGAATGTACCACATCTGATGGACTAGTAGGCTGCAACCTCATGAAAAAATACATTTTCTAAATCTCAAATTTAGACCTATTGTCTTGTGTATGATTCTCTGGTCCTGTGCGGCAGTGAATACGTACAGCACTTCACTGTAATAAAACCTAACTGAACTACTCACATTAGGCACCATTGTATTGGTCAATAAAGATGTTAATACTAATAAAAACAAACAAGAAAAAAAAAAGATGGTGGCGAGGCGTCCCAACTCTATCTGAAGTTGTTTAAGATTCACTACCTGGAACAAAAAGTTTCAAGCAGCACGGGCTATGGCGAGCCCGTGATTCTACCTGAAGTCTAACGGCCGCTACAGGGAAGACAAAGCACTCGGGTACTTACGTAGTCTGGGGTCGAACCACGAGGTAGACTTGTCTTCGTGGTTAATGAAGTAGATTTCCCCCTCAGGAGTCACAGCCTGCTCCCAGCTCTCCGGCAGAGGGGCCAGGTTGCCGTTGACCAACGCCACGGCCTGCTGAGTGCTGGCCTGGGAGGAGGGTGGGGGCTGAGGGGGTCCCTGCTGACTGGGCTGGGAGACGGCCACGTGGGGCTGGGCCGCCTGTTGCCGTTGTCGCTGCTTCAGCACTGTCTTGCGGGGATCCTCCCACGTCGTCGACTGCGTGTGGTGGCTGTGGGGAGGGGAAGATGGTTTAGTCACTCTTCCTCAAGTTATTTCTGCTACGGTCATCACAGTCATCACCTACAGACATGCCCATTACCGCGTGCGGCTACAGACATGGGCCATTACCACAATACGAAAAACACTAAAGAATTTAAGGTTAATTCAAACCACAAGTTTAAAAGACCTCTGGATGTGACAGAGTCGTAAGAGATTTTGAGAAGTTACCACATATCTGAAGGCGGGCCCAAGAGCTAATTCTCCCTACCCAAAGGCACCTACAGTATAGCCATGAACAATGTCAACACGCGTTACCCCCCCAGATTAGATCATCACTAACTTGCGAGACAAGGTCACCACCTACCAACTGCACCACATTGTCAACATTGGAGTCGGACCCAAGCTGATGTTGATAACACAGCGATGCCGAGTAATCATCTCCAAGTGTACATACAGTATGGTGTCAGTCCTTTAAAATGGTGCATGGTTAGACAACCACCAATCACAGGGCACCTACCTGGGCCTCAGCCGTCATGGGAATAGAGCCTAGGGCTCGGCCAGCTGACAGGTGTCATCAGAGCAGAGAGAGAGAGAGCGGACCTCGGCTAGAGAGACCCAGTCTCCTTCAGCAAAACAAGGCGACGTCGGTGTTAATGTCCAGTCCTTACCAGTAAGCATCTCGCGGAACCAAGCAACGACTCGACCCGCATTACATAGCATTAATGGCTCCTCAGATGGTGTGGCAAAGTGAAATTCACACCAGTTACTCCATCTATCATCATTCTATTGTATGCAGGAAGAACCTCACGTCTATGGGTCATCCAGTAAGGTTAGCAGACTTCTAGATGTCACCACTGCTAGGCTTAGTTAGGCTCGGCTACAAGTACCTCAGGGAGTTTGCAACATCTGCTGATGTAGATTTGACACAATGTAAACTCTCTCAGCAGAACTACTCGCATACTTTACGTCATTATATAATGGAATGCGAAAAATCGAAAATCGGAAACAACACCGTCAATGAAGTCCGAGAAATGTGTAAGTACTTCATTCATAATGATGTACTGTCAGGAATCTTGGCGCAGAATCCAAAATGTGCTTACTGTAGGTGCAGCCTGCACATGACTGTAAAGCTGCCGCCCAGTTGGGTGGGTGTGGAGCAAGACTAGTAACTGCGACTCACCATGGATGTAAAGTGCCTTGTAAGCCTCTTATTGAATCACTTGTTTTACAAAAGATTATTGATAGAGACATATATATATATATATATATATATATATATATATATATAATTAATATATATATATATATATATATATATATTAGAGGGCTTAAAACTGACATATATATATATATACATATAAATATAACATATATATATATATATATATATATATATATATATATATAATATATATATATATATATGCGAACAAGCCTGAATGGTCCCCAGGACAATATGCAACTGAAAACTCACACCCCAGAAGTGACTCGAACCCATACTCCCAGATGCCACGCAACTGGTATGTACAAGACGCCTTAATCCACTTGACCATCACGACCGGACATAATGAGGTGATAGCCGAGGCTATTTGAACCACCCCACCGCCGGCACTCGGATAGTAATCTTGGGCATAGCATTTTACCAAATCACCTCATTCTTTGGGGCACACGTGAGGAACACAAATGCGAACAAGCCTGAATGGTCCCCAGGACAATATGCAACTGAAAACTCACACCCCAGAAGTGACTCGAACCCATACTCCCAGATGCCACGCAACTGGTATGTACAAGACGCCTTAATCCACTTGACCATCACGACCGGACATAATGAGGTGATAGCCGAGGCTATTTGAACCACCCCACCGCCGGCACTCGGATAGTAATCTTGGGCATAGCATTTTACCAAATCACCTCATTCTTTGGGGCACACGTGAGGAACACAAATGCGAACAAGCCTGAATGGTCCCCAGGACAATATGCAACTGAAAACTCACACCCCAGAAGTGACTCGAACCCATACTCCCAGATGCCACGCAACTGGTATGTACAAGACGATTACTATCCGAGTGCCGGCGGTGGGGTGGTTCAAATAGCCTCGGCTATCACCTCATTATGTCCGGTCGTGATGGTCAAGTGGATTAAGGCGTCTTGTACATACCAGTTGCGTGGCATCTGGGAGTATGGGTTCGAGTCACTTCTGGGGTGTGAGTTTTCAGTTGCATATTGTCCTGGGGACCATTCAGGCTTGTTCGCATTTGTGTTCCTCACGTGTGCCCCAAAGAATGAGGTGATTTGGTAAAATGCTATGCCCAAGATTACTATCCGAGTGCCGGCGGTGGGGTGGTTCAAATAGCCTCGGCTATCACCTCATTATGTCCGGTCGTGATGGTCAAGTGGATTAAGGCGTCTTGTACATACCAGTTGCGTGGCATCTGGGAGTATGGGTTCGAGTCACTTCTGGGGTGTGAGTTTTCAGTTATATATATATATATATATAATATATATATATATATATATATATATATATATATATATATAATATATATATATATATATATATATATATATATATATATATATATATATATATATTAGAGGGCTTAAAACTGTCACAATTCACCCTGTATTGCTTCAGTGAATATTCATTAACTACAACTCTGAAGAATGAGCAACATTCACCTGGTGACGCTTTGTGATGCGATTATCACCACCACAACGGGTCGGAGTGTCACGGTACAACCTGTAACACCCCTCATCCCATCCCTAACCCTAGATCAAGTCAGGTCAACCCCCATCTTAGATCAGGTCAGGTCACACCAACCTTAGATCAGGTCAGGTCACACCAACCCTATATCAAGTCAGGTCACCTACCTACACAGTCACCAAGTATAGGTTATCATATCCCTCCCCCTCATACCAGTTCCACTTCACTCCCCACTCCCCCACAGATCAGTCAATGAGCTTAGTCCTGAGGCCCGGGGCTTGTGACCCATATGTGAAAGGTCAGGTAGGCAAAGCGAGTTTTTGATGACCTGAAGTATCCGAGCCTCACCTGACCTGCCACCACACCTGCCAGCATCAGCAGGGGGCGGTGGGCAGGTAGCAGCAGGGGTGGTGGGCAGGTAGCAGCAGGGGGCGGTGGGCAGGTAGCAGCAGGGGGGGTGGGCAGGTAGCAGCAGGGGTGGTGGGCAGGTAGCAGCAGGGGTGGTGGGCAAGGAGCAGCGGCAGCAGGAGGTGGCGGGCAGCCAGCAAGGTAAGCGTGACACCTCCTCTGCCTGTCTTAGATGTCCAAGATCAGACACTAAGCATAATGAGATAACTCTCACTCTCGGTGTCATGCTCCGTCATCACACAACCTTCACACCAACTGCTTCCTCTCACACAGGCAATAAAGCCTTCGAAAATACAATTTCCAGTTATGGCATTCAGAACAATAGCAGTGAAGTATATGTAACCTAGACTGGTAGAGGGAGGGAGGGAGGGGAGGGGGGTAAGACAGCGTGATGACTGGAGGAGTTACTCAGTGCACAATCCATCATCACAATCACCATCAGTTCCACCACCACCTCCATATTCCTCGCCTATCAACCACACAACTTCCTATGCCTTGATACACAACTCAAAACCTCTTATTTTCCTACTACACGAGGCCACCCCTTGAGGAGGCTTGAGCAAGGAGAAGCTGCACTAACTTCCTCTTAGTAAGCCAAGCAGTTACAGCCCCAGCGCTCCTGTGCCAGGTAAGTCCACTACGGGGCTCACCATAGCCCGTGCTACTTGGAACTTTGTTCCCAGTAGCTGAATCTTAAAAACAACAACAACAACGTCGGCCAAGACAACACAGATTCTCATGGTGCGTGGCGAGAAAGTGGAAGTGGGGGGGGGGGGGATAAACTTTTTTTTAGTATGTACCTCAAAAGAGAACACGAATTGTATTTTTAATTCACGAGAACTTGTTCTATTAGAGTTGAACACTCTTTGGGGTCCAGTTATCTTGGCGGCTGGACGGTTTCTTTGTTAAAATATTTGTCTATTTCATTGTAATTTGTGCTATACTAGTTGAGGCGAAGTGGTTGTGCCTCTGGAGAGACAACTACACTGTGTTGTGTCTACAGTGTTGGAACCCTTGTGTCTACAGTGTTGGAACCCTTGTGTCTACAGTGTTGGAACCCTTGTGTCTACAGTGTTGGAACACTTGTGTCTACAGTGTTGGAACACTTGTGTCTACAGTGTTGGAACACTTGTGTCTACAGTGTTGGAACACTCGTGTCTACAGTGTTGGAACACTCGTGTCTACAGTGTTGGAACACTCGTGTCTACAGTGTTGGAACCCTTGTGTCTACAGTGTTGGAACACTCGTGTCTACAGTGTTGGAACACTCGTGTCTACAGTGTTGGAACACTCGTGTCTACAGTGTTGGAACACTCGTGTCTACAGTGTTGGAACACTCGTGTCTACAGTGTTGGAACCCTCGTGTCTACAGTGTTGGAACCCTCGTGTCTACAGTGTTGGAACCCTCGTGTCTACAGTGTTGGAACCCTCGTGTCTACAGTGTTGGAACACTCGTGTCTACAGTGTTGGAACCCTCGTGTCTACAGTGTTGGAACCCTCGTGTCTACAGTGTTGGAACACTCGTGTCTACAGTGTTGGAACACTCGTGTCTACAGTGTTGGAACCCTTGTGTCTACAGTGTTGGAACCCTCGTGTCTACAGTGTTGGAACCCTCGTGTCTACAGTGTTGGAACACTCGTGTCTACAGTGTTGGAACCCTCGTGTCTACAGTGTTGGAACCCTCGTGTCTACAGTGTTGGAACCCTCGTGTCTACAGTGTTGGAACCCTCGTGTCTACAGTGTTGGAACCCTCGTGTCTACAGTGTTGGAACCCTCGTGTCTACAGTGTTGGAACCCTCGTGTCTACAGTGTTGGAACCCTCGTGTCTACAGTGTTGGAACCCTCGTGTCTACAGTGTTGGAACCCTCGTGTCTACAGTGTTGGAACCCTCGTGTCTAC